ATCTTTAAAAATATATATTTTTTATTTATTTATTTTTTGAGAGAAAGAGAGAGAGAGAGTGCAAGCGGGGTGAGGGGCAGAGGGAGAGAGAGAATCTCAAGCAGACTCTGCACTGAGCGGGGAGCCCTACTTGGGGCTCGATCCCGTGACCCTGAGATCATGATTTGAGCCAAAACCAAGAGTCAGTCGCTTAACCAACTGAGCCACCCAGGCGCCCCAGGAAGACCACTGTTTTAAGATCACTTTGAGTCCATTACATAAAAATGTGCTTGCCTTTCATATTGACTATTTTTCATTTCTAGTGTTACATCGATCTTGAACAAACAGATGACGCTATGAAGTTTTGTAATTTGGCAGTGTTGCTTCCTTGTGTTACCAAAGAGGTAAGTCCCAACAGTGACAATGAGGGCTGTTATTTTATTAGTCCTTTTCTGGCTTCAAAGATAGCTTAGAAACGTCTGGATTTTTCTTCCATACTAAAACTTTGGATTTAACATGTAGTATGAAGTTTTTAAAATTGCTTCAGGTAACCCTTCACCAGCAGACTCCCTGTATCTTTCAGGGACACACAAATCATGGGCTAGCAGTTAAAACATCCTAATGCTTGTTAAGGGATTAGGCTAAACCCCGCTGGGGGAAGGAAGGAGGGCAGCCTAATTCTGGGGAGCCGATGATGATGAAGCTGTGATAGGCAGCAGACAAGTAAGCAGGCTGCCCACCTTGGAGCGAGAGAACTGTCCACGTGGCTGCGATCTTCAGGCCTAGCTCACAGCAGGGGAGGGCTATCCTCTAGCAGGAAGAAGATTAAAAATAACATATTAGCATTTTCTCAGTCTTTGAACACCTACCACTAATGAAGAAGAAACTATCGCATTGCTTCTTGCCCTTTTGTTCACTAATTCAGGGTTCTGGATGTACTCTGTTTTAGGAATTTCAGAGTTAACAGTCCAGCCTGCGTTCCTGTGAGCTATATATTGGTATTGTGGGAACAAAAGAAAATAGATAAATGTTTTCCTTCTCCCTTCTCATACCACCAAACATTATCATCCTCTGAATCACAGCTAAAAGAAATGCCTCAAGGGGCGCCTAGGTGGCTCAGTCGGTTAAGCGTCTGACTCTTGATCTCAGCTCAGGTCTTGATCTCAGGGTCGTGAGTTCAAGCCCCACGTTGGGCTCTGCACTGGGTATGGAGCCTACATTTAAAAAAAGAAAAAGAAAACAAATGCTGCCTCAGAAATAAGCATCCCTCTTCTTCTCTGTTGAAGCAACACTGGCTCCAATGTTTGTGATCTCAAATATAAGCATGTAAGGCATGCCCACAGCCCTCTAGAATAGCCCACAGCCCTCTATAGCCTAGAATATAAGTTATATATCCAAATAACTATAGGTCAGGGTGGAAAGCCTGAAGTGCTAAGAGAGGTACAAATAATTGGTTATGGAAATAGTGAAGATGGAAATTATTTTCACCTAGAAGAGATTAAGTAGCATCAGAGGTGGGTTTTGATGACATGGAGGTGTGAGTGAAGCACATCGCAGATCATGAACAAAGGCGCGGTGGTGGAAAAGCGAAGATTTGTGTGCTTGAAGGGAAGGGGGTGTTCAGGACAGTCATGGGAAATATGGATGATGGAGAAGGGGAACAAGACCTTCCTGGAGCTTCAGGGTTCGGGAGGGCCGTGTCTGTAGACAGGGCTGGCCAGCCTCCCCCGGGCCTTCCCAGCAACTGCCAGCACTAGGTCTCGGATGGCTTCTAGATGCAGGCTTTCCTATGAGGTTGGTTGTCCTTCTCCCTCAGATCCCTCGGTGGGTTCCGTTGGTCAGTTCTGAGCTCAACAGCACAGACTCAGTAGCAGCACTTCCCCACGGAAGACACTTGATATAATTTTGGGGGCAGAAAAACAGATTTTGTCCCTCTGGCTGCCTGCTCCATATCGGTCATGGGGACCCTACCATCTTTCCCATCTCTCCTGAACTATGTCACTTAGGTTACATGCAGTCATCTTAAACTGAGTATCTATGTATTCTTATTAGAATTTGAGATTAGACTACAGTATGATAATGAAGTTTAATACCTGGTGTGACATGCGAACATTTGGGCACAGAATTTAGTGTTCTCACACAAGGGCTAAATATCGATGACCCCCAAGGTTTGGTCCTTGGTCCCTAAATCTCCCCTCTCCTCTCCCCTTTCCTCCTCCCTACCCCACAAGCCTGTTGTCCATGACTTCAAATGCTATATCCCTGCCGGGAGTCCTCAAATTTGTATCTTTAGACCTCCCTTCTGAGCTCTAGACCTGATTGTCCACCTTCCCGTGTGCCATCTCTACCTGGATGTTTCAGAGACATCTCAAGCTTAACTCGTCATCAGGCCTTTGGATCTGTTCCTCTCCATCTTCCCATCTACTAAACAGCACGTTCATTCATCAATTAGGAACGCTGGGAATCATCCTTGACCCCTCCTTCTACCTCGGCCCCCAACCCAGACACCCACCCAGGCCCCAAGTTCTCAGAATTCCTCTTCTAAAACATGCCATGAGCCACCCAACGGACCTCTCATTCCGCTGCCACCACTCCAAACAGGAAACCACCCGAGTTCACCCAAACTGCGCTGTGGGAGCCTCCCACTGGCCCCACAGCTTTCTTCCTCCCTCCAGGTCATTCTTGGCTCTCCATAGCAGCTGAGGCAACAGATTAAACAAACCTCAATCTGTCCCTTCCCTACTTGAAAGTCCTAAGTATGTAGCATGTCCTTCACGGCTCTGATGCATGTTCTCCACTCTCCTCACCTCTGCACCATGCTCTTCCCTGCCTCACACCATCAGGCCCTGTTGTTGCCTCTTCTGGAAACACTCCCACCCAAGCCCTCCAGCCCCTTCACCACCTCTATTCCCACTCACCCTTTAAGCCTCACCACAAATGTCATTTCCTTAGGAAAGACTTCCTTGATGCTCCCAGGCAAGAAAGTACTTTGTGCTTTTCCTTCAAGTCATTGAGCAGGGCTGTGGTTGCCTCGTTATGTGTGTGATTGTTCCACAAGAATCTCGGCTAGGTGGGTCTCATCCATACCTCTATTCCTAGTGCCAGGTGCCATGCCTGGCATATAATAAGCACTCATGAGTCCTGGTAGGAAGAATCAGAAGACTAATAGCACGCAAATAAAAATACTAGTGCTAATAGTGCTAATAAGTAGGACTGGATATGAATGTAACTAAGAGAGCTGGGCCCTGTGGAAATACTTATGTAATAAGCAAAATAGCATTAATGAATATTTCCCATGTTACTTTTTTTTTTTTCCAGTGATGTTTCCATTTGTATTTTCTAGGAGGTTTGGTTTTGTTTTGTTTTTTTCAAGGAATTAAATGTACTGTCAGGAATATCTCCGTTTCTTTTTCAATTAGCAAATAAGCTGAGGAGAGTAATCTGTAGTACCCCTTATCTCTGTAAGGTTTTCCTGATGGAAATATGCCTCATTAGTGATTCTGCTGACCCGTCTATTAATTTCCAAAATGTCCAGCAGAGCCACTCATTACAGTGACGGCCACTGGGCCATTGGCGCGCTCTCCCTCACGTGAACTTGCCTGACCTGTGTGCTGCTTTCTCGTGGTGCTTGTAACTGCTTCCTGGCCATGTAGTCACTTGTGACCTGTCTTCCGTCCCTTTCAGGGAGTGCTAACTCATCACACTGCACTCAATATTGGGAATGTCAGCCCTTGGGCTCTAGGGCCCAGATTCATGCATGGGAGCAGCTTTATATTCCCAGAACTTGAAACTACAGTATTTTATTATTCATGTGGACTTTTCTTGACCCCAGGGAGGTAATCTCAGGTCCTGAGAAACATTCTGTTTTTAAAAAAAAAAACAAAACCAAACCACGATTCCTATGTCTAAGGCAGTGTGAGAATGCTTGATGAATGAAGTCATGACCACACAGCAGCCTGGGAGTTCTTTGCCTGGAGGAAGGGTCCAAGTGACTGACCTGGACTAGGCTGCAAGCGCTCCGGGCGCAAAGTAGTATGTAGTATTGTGTGTTATGACGAGGGGTGCGCTAGTCTGGTAAAGAAACAGACTGTTCTTAAACGGCTGTAATATTTTGAAGTGACATTAATTGCTCTTCTAAGACAAAGTCTTATAGGACAGTAAATAAAATATATGAGAAACAACTCCAGGAAGAAGAGGACACCGGAAGCGCTCAAAGTAAAGACGACTGTGTCCCGGCTCACAAGTTCTTGGAAGTTACCTGTTGTTTAAAATCCTGGGCTGTACCTCCATGCTGTTACATAGATTAAGAATCATCCCTCTCATTAGTCACCATGCTTAGCAATAAAATCCTAAGCCTGCTTTTAATTTTTTGTCTTAATTAAGACCTCATATTTGATTTTCTTCATTAAGAGATTGGTTTTTCAGATAAGTTTATAAAATAGAATTAGTCTACAGATGTTCACCCTGCCTTCCTGTTAAGGGAACACAACAGCTCAGAGTGATGAGTGGGTTACTTACTGAAAGCCAGCAATGTTGTTCAGCATCTCATTTTTTAGAAATTCTGATTTACCTATTTATTTCTGGTTTGGATTTATTTCTTATAGATTAACTCATCCGTGCCATCCATGCCTGGAGAATTCATTCTTCCTGGTACATTTTAAAAGAAAGTAATAAGGCCACTAAAGGATAGACAGACTTTGCTCACTCTCTGAACAGATATTTTCATGAGCTGCCGGCTGGGGGTGCTACTCTGTTTACAACTCCCTATTTCTACTCTTTTGGCTCTTCTCTTATGTTGTTTGGCATTCCAAAATATATTATTCGTTCAGCTTTCTTGATATATAATGGCCTTGGTTGTATTTTTTAAGTTGATCTTGAAAAACACCTTAAAGAGATTTCTTAGACCTCCTTTTAATAATTTTCTTAAAATAACTGATGACACAACATTGGTTTGGAATCAGTCATTCTTAAGCAGTACCCAGTCTAGTCAAGTTGATGTTTGATAATCATTACCCAAATGCCAGCAGTATAACAATGTAATATAAGTAGATCTCTCTCTTACTTATCCAAAGTCTTCAGCAGAGAGTATTGATATATTTTCCCATATGTGCTTCTTTCTTGTGGCACTTGTAATCTCTTCCTGGCATGATAGTTATTTGTGACATGTCTTCTGTCCCTTTCAGGGAGCTCTAAGCTCATCACACTGAACTTGTTATTGAGAGTGTCAGCCCTTGGGCTCTGGGGCCTAGATTCATGCATGTGAACAACTTTACATTCCCGGAATTTGAAACTACAGTGTTTTACGGAGAGAAAGTGTGCCGTCTCAGCAGAAAGGTTTGGATAGTTTGAATCTGAGGAAGAAAGGAATAACCTGAACTCAAAACCATAACCCGAGTCCTCAGCAGACGATGTTTACACAAATATGGCCAATATATCGAGTGCTTGAAACATAATGAAGACCTCAGAATTAATCAGATAGCTGTGCAGTTGACATGCTATGAAGGAAAAAACTTACATGCAGGCGAGTATCACACCATGTGAGTATAACTCATGTGGCAAAGTCTTCAATTGGAGATTATCACTGAAGGGTCAGCATAGAATTCATATGTAGAAAAATGAATTGATGGATGGATGTAGGCAGACGTTTAGCAGCCTCTCCTCTCCCCCTTAGTAGCAGAGATTTCACACTGGAGAGGAGCTCTTTGATTATAATGAGAATGGGGAAATAGCCACAGCTCAGCTGACTCAGTCTGTGGTACTGGAGAGAACCCCTACAAATGTAATGAATGTGGCAAACTCTTCAGCCAGAGAGCTAACTTTTGTTTATATGAGAGAGTTCACACAGGAGAAGAACCCTTTGCCTGTAATCAGTGTGGAAATGCCTCCAATAACAACTTATCCTTTAAACAGCATGAGTGAATTCACACTGCAGAGAAACTACATGAATGTCATCTATGTGGTAAAGCCCTTAGCTGATGCTCTAAGCTTAGCCATCATGAGAACACATACTGGAGAGAAACCCTATACATGTAATGAATGTAGAAGAACCTTCAGCCTCAGACTTAACCTTTACATAAGAGTTCCCACAGGGAAGGCACCCTACAGCCTTCAGCCAAAGCTCAAGCCTTGGAAGGCACAGAACACTGAGCAAAACAAGAAGGAGAACAGCAAGTCTTTACCAGGAGGAGGAAGCCATTTGAGAAATACCAGATAATTCATGTTAGAGAAGCAATTCAATGAAGTAAATAGGAGAAACCCTTTCCTCACAGAGTAGCATTCCAGGACATGTGAGGATTCTCACTGTATTAAACACTCTCAGTATCGTGAATGAAGGAAAGTCTTCACTGACCACACATACCTTAGTCAGCCTTCAAGTTCTCACACTGGGGAGTCCCTCAGCCTTCAATCCAAGTAGAAATGCCTTTAACTGCAGTTTATATAAGAAAACTCAGACTGGAGAACAAAACTATCAAGAACCCTTAGAATACAATTCAACATATAATTTAGACTTTTGGCAAATGACATGGCACTGAAAATAATGTAGTGTAAAAATGCAGAACTGTAATGCATTCTTGGAAATGTAGAATGCAGAATTTGGTAAAACATAATAAGCAGTAAGATAATCCCTCCTCAGCGGATTAATAAAAGTTGTTGATAAAAAATCTGATACATTGGTATTTGTCTTCAAAAAATCATGAAACATTATGCTGAGTAATCAGGCCATTTTCCCTTTGTTACATCACTGTTGAAAGCTGATCAGTTTCTATTCTTTATGCAGCTCTAAATGTATTTACAAAGACTGTTCAATCAGAAAACAACTTTTAATGTAACTGAAAAGTGTAGAACACAAAATAATGTGTTCTAATGATTATATTAGTGTTGAAATATGTATCTACATGGCAAAGGTGAATGGAAACATGGACAAACAAACACTATGTGATTCAGATATCTCAGGTATGTGAGTGGTATACATGCCCTACTTTATAAGACACTAAAAACAAACAAAGGCTTGAAATAGAAAAATATGCCTAAAAGGATTGAATCAAATGTACAATACGGCTGAAATGTTGAGTCCTAGAGGGAGAAAAGAGATGAAAGCCTTGTATACCTTTTTCTTAAAGGCAAGGGGAAACTCTTACAGGGTCTTAAGCAACAAGTAACACAATGAGATTTGGGGGAGGGCACACTAGCTACCATGTGGAGACTGACTTGGCTTGGAGGGGAATAGAACTGGAAGAAGGAGTACCATTTAAGTAACTCCTGCAATAACACAGACATGAGCCAGTGACCCAGACTAAGATGATGACAGTGAGGAGTGAAAGGAGAGCACAGATTTAACAGATTTGTGGGTGGTAGTCTCTACAAGACTTAGACATTGAATTTCCAGGAGATAAAGGACTCAAGAATGAGATCTCGGTTTCCGGCTTTAGAAACTGTCCAGGATAGAGGGAGGTACCCTTTAAGGATCCAGGGAACATTGGAGAACCAGATTTGGTAGAGAAGGTGAGTTCAGTTATGAACCTTTTGAGTTTGTGTCTGTTAGGTTTTCCAATCCATAAAGTGATTATATATTTGTCAAATAACTGATGTCTGAAGCCACAAGATGGCAGAGACCACCCAGTAAAGTGAGAGTATTTGAAAGCCAGTGGGCCAAGGATCAACTCTGAGAAACCCCAATATAAGGGAAGGGGAGGAGGAAAAGGAAGCTACAGGTGAGATGGAAAGAAGTGGCCACAGGAGACGGGGCCTCAGAAGCCAAAGGATGGTGGGAGTGGTCACCTTGGTCAGACACTCTGGAGAAGTCAGGATGGAATGAGCTGAATTGAATTATGTCTGTGTTACTGGTGATCTTCACCCAGACTGTTTTAGTGGAGCAAGAGAAGCAGAGACAGTTCAGAGCACCAGAGGTGAGAAAATGCAGTCAGTGCATGTCGGCGCCCTTCCAGTAATTTGGTGGGGAAGAGAGGAGAGAGGTCAGGTGGCAGTTAAAGTGGTGCTGGAGTTGAGAAATCATGTTTTTTTAGATGGGAAATGGGGAAGCATACTTAAATGATGAGAAAGGGCCAGCAAAGAAGGCAGGGTTCGAGAAAGACTGGGGAGAGAGGAGATAATTGATAGAATAAGGTCCTGAGGAAGTCAGAAAGGGATCTAGAGCACATCATGGTCCTCTTTTTTTTTTTTTTTTTGTCGTGGGCTCAATAGAAAACTCGATGGGTTTGTAGACTTGTGGGTTCATAGAGAACCAGGGCAGGTGCCACAGAGGGAGAAAGGGTTTTGATCTTTTGCTAAGAGGGTAGTTGGATGTAGAACCTAATGTGGGTTGAAAATAAGTCAAAGCAGGAGAACGCTGATAGAGAACAATAAGGAAAAAATCACTTAATAAACCTGTAGAAGTTGAAAAATTGGTGTGATTGGATAAATGACCCAAAAAGGAAGGCAGTTGTGTTCAGAGAGCAGGCTGCCTGTTTCAGAGGTAGAGCAGTTCTAGGTCATGACGCAGCCCAGGGTGTGCTCACGGGGGTGGTGGGGAAGGACATCGGAGATGAGGAGACCAACTCCTGGGATGCTGGGATCCACGGGCCATGGGGCAAGGATGTCCCAACAGTGATGGCAGACGGTGTGGAGAGTGACCCAGGTGCCGAAGTCATAAAAAAATAAACGTAAAAGGAGAGTGACCAGGAGTTTAACAGCTAGAAGAAATGGTAGAGGGCAATTATCTTCTACCATTGGCTCCAACCCCTCCACCAGTAATATCCCTCATCCTCTCCTCTTCCCCCCAAAATATATTCTCTCAGCAAATGCATTACCGGTTATGCAAAAGTGACTTCAAAACAAGTCTACTAGCAGGAGTGCTAGGAAGCTATGTAGAAATGTCTGAGAAAACGGGGGTAAGTGGGAGGTTGAGTCAAGGAGGAGAATTCATAGGAGGGCAGTATTGGGGGGAATACCAAAGAGGATTGATGGTGTAAAGGATGTATATTTTGGATGATAACAGAGGAAAGCATAATTGGAGGTGGTGGTTTTAGCTGGCTTTTTGGGCTAAAAAGCCCTGCTAGTGCCCTCCATACATAAAAACATAAATAAGTAGAATACTTGGATGGAAGCCCTGGGAAAGAGGTGAAATGGGAGGCGTGTGGTGTGAGTGTGAGTGTGTGGGTGTGCACATTTGCTGCCAGTTGAATTGGGGTGGAGGTTAGAGGAACTCTTCTTTGTGGTGCATGAGTATAAATATCACTATGCTGTGATCTTAATTTTGAATCTTTCATTATGGCTTATGCATTTTCATTTCTTTAGGCATCTAATTGAAATAATTCTCTCATTGATGTCATTATTCTGTAAGAAATTGATTCCTAGAAATTGATGGGAAATGTTGCTGTATGTTCTAGCATCAAGCCACTAATAGTAGACATCATCCATTTCGGGACTTCTAGGTGCCAGGCACTCAGCTAGCCATGGGGTTACAAAGATAAACATGGATTACAGCTTATTTTGTATAAGTTCTTTTAAATAATACATTAATACCCTAAATTCATTAATCACATTTTCTCACAACCTTCAAAAAATATTGATTTGATAGAAGTAGACATCCTACTGACCAGACACTACATTATGATTAAAACTATTGAAGAGCTTCCAGGTTTAAAAAAAAAAAATCTAATAGCTACTTCCAAATATTACTTTGTTCATTTTTCCTCATCTGTTTATTTTCATTTGTTACATCCCTTAAATTCTTTCTGATTAGGTACTTAATACATATTTGGGGTTTTGTTTTGTTTTTTTAAGATTTTATTTATTTGAGAGAGAGAGAGAGCACGAGCAGGTGGGAAAGGCAGAGGGAGAAACAGATTCCCTGCCGAGCATGGAGTCCGATGGAGGACTCCATCCCAGGACCCGAGATCATGACCTGAGCTTAACCAACTGAGCCACCCAGCCGCCTCTCAATAAATGTTTGTTAAATGCAAAAGTGTAGAGGAGTACCCTGCCACCTGAATTTATCGCCACTGTTTCTAACCACCACACTTGTTTTAAAGAAATAACAATACATGTGCAGTACTAGAGAACATATTACATGGTTTTTCATCTTAAATATAAACTACTTGATAAAGTCAATAATGAAAAGTATATTTGCTAGCCTGGATCATGCAGTGGAATCTCAGATTTCTTCAAATCCTGCTGCTAGGGCTGGGACTTCTTCCACATGGTACAGTTGAAGAAGAAAACAATGTTAACCATTAACACACTAGTGAGATCGAATGTGTCCACTTACACGAAAGGCTCTCTTCTCCCTGTCTTCCCACCACTCCAGACCTGGTGGGGGAAACCCTGGAAATAGCTCTCCACATGACACGTATTCTCAGAGATCTGAATCATGCCTGGATCTAAGAAATGTGTAATTTCTTTGTAATGGTCCTTCAGAGAGTATCGCCTCACTCCACCAAAGATTGCTTCAAAGTACCCAGAGTAGCAGGATCAATGTGTGAAATTTCATTGTGTACTTGTATTTTCTTTATAGGATAAAGATGCACAGAAAGAAGTGAAAAAAATAAGCACTTCCTTGAAGAGGTAAATAGAAGAACTTACTCTTCAGCAAATCAGATGTGGTCTACTAAACTTTAATCCAAGTTGTGTTTTTTTATTATCCTTTTTTCTTCTTTGACGTAAGGGTAGTATGCTCAGATTTGAAGGTAAAACCACATTTCTGCAGAGTGCATTCCAATAGTAGCATGACAAAACTAATCATGTTGTTGGCAGAAATCAAGTTCCCATAATGTCAGTACAAAATTATCTTTAAACATGTATGATTTATATTTTTCCTATCAATTAGCTATAGTCTTCAGAGTATTTCTTTAAATAAAATATTTAAATCAATTCAATAAAGTGAACTGCTTCAATGGAGACTTTACAAAACAAAATTTCATTAATGTGGATAAAAAAAGGGAAAAACGGGCAGAGGTCATGAACAAGTTGTTGACAGAAGAGGAAAAACGAAAGAGTAAACACATGGTAACTAGTAATCGGAAATGTGAATAAAATTACAGTAAGATACTGTTTTGTCATCAAATTAGCAAGGATTTTTTTCTTTCAAGAGATATTCAGTGCTGGTAATGATGCCCACAAGTTGGAACATTCTCAACCACAGCTGGTGAGAGGGTATTTTGACACAAACATTTGGTAAAATGTGTCCTGAGCCTTAAAAATGTATTAATTCTTGAATCTTGTAATGTCATTTCAGGGGAATAGTCCTAAGGAGAAAAGGACAATTATTTATGCACAAATGTTTATAACAGCATTATTTATTATAGCAGAACACTATGTCCAACAATAAAAAAGCAGTTAACCGTATTAGAATCTAACCATATTAAAATATAACTACAACAGGATATTATTTTGGCATTGAAAAAATTACCGAAATTGTGCAATGCACAAAGCATCTTAAGTGCAAGTACAAGGCAAAGTAGTGTATACATATCATCTCAGCTATATGAAAATGTGTGCAGAAAAACATCAATTGGAAAGATACTAATCTGGTAGCAGTTCATATTTCTGTAGAGTTGCGTTTTATTTCTTCTATTTCCCAATTTTTAATAAACTAAAAGGATTTTTTTCATTGAACTTAGCTAGCAGTGATCTGTAAAGATTCCTCACTACACTTTAACCAGCCTCATCCTGGAAATCAGATCAAAACTTGAAATTCCTTCTTGCTATCC